CAATGAATTTGGCATGATGGAGGATTTTGTTCGGTGGGTGTCACTTCTTCTGACACCTGATCAAAAGCTCACCAGGCTGACCAAATCACAAGAAAATCTGACATCGTTTGAAGCAAATCTATCTAGTTTTCTTGAACATTTACTAACCCAGGATGGATGTGGAATTGAGTGAGAGAGAAAATCGATGCTGTGGAAACGCCTCTCATCACCTGCTCCAAAGAAAGCTAAGATCTTCATCTGCAGGGAAGGTGTGGGCCTCATTTTTGGGGGATGCAAAAGGGCTGTGTTTATTGAAAAGAGTCACACTACCAATGGATTGTATTATGCCAGCTTGCTGAGGCAGTTACGAAAAGCCATCAAGAACAAACACCCAGAAAAACTAACGAAGGTAGACTTATTTCATCAGCACAATGCTCCAGCACACAAGTCCTTGCTTTCAATGGCTATTGTGCATGACTGTGGTTTTCTATTGGCTTATCACACTTCTTATTTTCCTGATTTGACTATCATCTGTTCCCCAACATGAATAGAAACTGGCTGGGAAACTGTATCGCAGTGATTATCGCAGCAATATCTGTTGCTGATATTTTTTGACCAACAAGATATTTTAATTTGTCAGTTTACCTGGAAAGAAATAATACAGTTATTAAAAAGAAGAGTTGAAATTAATTCATGCATGACTTCACTTGCTCAAGCACCCCTCCTTCGTAGTCAGCCTATGGATTTTTCAGCCTACCGTCGTATCAAATATTAACTTCAACAAAATCTGCATTTCAAATATCAAATTTCACGGAATCCATATTTCACTTATCAAATTTCACAGAATATGGAATCAAAAAATATAAAATTTCACTAAATGCGCTTTTCAAATATCAAATTTACAGCAATATACACTTCAAAAGTCATATTTTACGGTAGATTTCGAGTCTTTAACGAAATCGTCGCTACAAAATCCGTAAATTATTAATATGACAGAGCAATATTGATATATTTGTAGAGTTGTAGAGTTTTTCTAGTCTGAGGATTTACGTTGATTAACCTTGGAAAATAGGAATATATTTTTTATGACCTCTGACTTTTTGGAAAGATGATCACCTGAAATAAAGCACTGGGAAATAAAAAAAAAAACTGAACTGAAAAGGTGGATTGATAATATAAGTGGTCATTTGCAGAGTTTTGATTATTTACAAGACATGAATAACAAAAGCGTTTCTAATTCAACACATATTTCAAATCGTTTTTTCTGTATATTTAGTTCATTTTTGATTTTTTCCTTTCTGTGAATTTTGTAATAATGTACCGCTCATTTACGTTATGAACGTTTACACATTTTTTTCTACACGTCATGCAACTTTTTCAGTATTTTTTATCGCTTTATTACCGATTAAACATTTTCCTTCCTTCCTTCATTCCTGATTTAATTCCTTCCTTCATTAATTCGTTCTTTCCTTCCTTCCTTGCTTCCTTCCTTCCTTCCTTTCTTCCTTCCTTGTTTTCTTACTTCCTCCCTTTCTTCTTTCCTTCCACCCTTTCTTCTTTCCTTCCTTCCTTCCTACCGTCCTTCCCCCTTTCTTCCTTCCTTGCCTTCTACCTTTCTTCTTTCCTTCCTTCCTTCCTACCTTCCTTCCTTCTCTCCTTCCTTCCTTGCTTCCTTCCTTCTTTTCTTCCTTCCTTCCTTCCTCTCTTTCTTCCTTCCTTCCTTCCTCCCTTTCTTCCTTCCTTCCTTCCTTCCTACCTACCTTCCTTCCTACCTACCTTCCTTCCTACTTTCCTTCCTTCCTTCCTTCCTTCCTTCCTTACTACCTACCTTCCTTCCTAACTTCCTTCCTACCTTCCTTCCCACCTTTCTTTCTTCCTTCCTTCCTTCCTACCTTCCTTCCTTCTCTCCTTTCTTCCTTGCTTCCTTCCTTCTTTTCTTCCTTCCTTCCTTCCTTCCTCCCTTTCTTCCTACCTTCCTTCCTCCCTTTCTTCCTTCCTTCCTTCCTACCTACCTTCCTTCCTACCTACCTTCCTTCCTACTTTCCTTCCTTCCTTCCTTCCTACCTACCTTCCTTCCTACCTTCCTTCCTACCTTCATTCCTTCCTTTCTTCCTTCCTTCAATCCTTCGTTCCTTCCACCCTTTCTTCCTTCCTTCCTTCCTACCTTCCTTCCTCCCTTTCCTCCTTCCTTGCTTCCTACCTTTCTTCCTTCCTTCCTTCCTTCCTACCTTCCTTCCTTGCTCCCTTCCTTCGTTCCTTCCTTCCTTCATTTCTTCCTCCCTTCCTCCCTTTTTCACTTCCTTGCTCCCTTGCTTCCTTGCTCCCTTGCTTCCTTCCTTACTTCCTTCCTCCCTTTCTTCCTCCCTTCGTTAATTCGTTCTTTCGTCCTTCCTTGCTTCCTTCCTTCCTTCATTTCTTCCTTCCTTGTTTTCTTTCTTGATTCCTTTCTTCCTTCTTCCCTTCCCCCCTTTCTTCCTTCCTTGCTTTCTACCTTTCTTCCTTCCTTCCTTCCTTCCTACCT